CAGACCTCCTCAGCAGGGGTGTAGTCTCATGTTCAGTTGGGGGGGGGGGCCTCAGTCCTCCCCCTTCAACTTTAGGAAGTGGAAGTGGGCCAAATCTAGGAAAAATTCGTTTGCTAGCTACCTTGCGTGCTTGTTTGAGTAATTTTTCATTGTTCAGATCCCCTCCCCCGCCCTCAACTCATTTTGTGAGACCTCACCAAAGCTCCTCAGTAAAAATTACTTTCAAGTAATTAATCAGTAGTTTTAAAATTAAGAAATGCGCTCTTCCCCCATATTTCAAAGACAAATGCGCTGCTGGTATCATCAACCATGCAGTCACGACTCACGGAACAACTTAAAAGTGCGCAAGCGTGTCGATCCCTCAAACGGCTCTGCTATCAGTGGCGTAGCCGGGATCTCGCCCAGGAGGCTGTTAGATCGAGGCATGGGGCCTTCCAAGTTAAGAGGCCCCATTTCGTCGTTACAGGGCCATGCCTCGGATTCATGGGACCTTTTCAGGCTCGGGATGCCATAGTGATGCCTCGGCGGGCTCAACGGTCCATTTTTTGTTTTGGAAGCCCTAGAAGCATCTTAAACTGAACAGTACTGGAGCCCTTGGTCCCAGTGGGTCCCGCCACCCCCTGGATGGAAGGAGGGTATGGCCCAAAAGGCTCCTTGACCTAGTCACTGTCATTATCCGCTAAAGATGTCTTCGCAGCGATTTATTGGATGTTCCTGAATTCATTCCACCAAACAACTTTACTCAATTATCTCAATCAATCCGCACCAGAAACGCGGCCCATTTATACACCCAAGAACCGCTGTTAGCCCGACGGGTCCACGTAAGCTTCACAAAACGCAGTCGATGCGTCCTACCCAACCAGAATGACGCGGTAGTAATATGCAACCAAGAACCATCCTGCTTTTTTCGTTGGTACAGTACCTGAGCCTGTCTGATAGGATCGCCCTCGTTACCGTTCGCGGCAGCAGGAATCCCACGTCACCGCACGCCGAGCAGGAGTCAGCGACAGAACCAATGACCTTGAAATTCCCGCCGTAATTAACGAGCTTGAGATCACATCGGATCAAGAGAGCATATTTTGCAGCGTATCATGCATATACAGGGTAACTCAGAAAATGATCGCTGGAAATTAAAAAACTTAGCAATGTTGAACTAACAACAAGCACTTTTAGAAGAAACATTTAGTGAATTTGCTGTACTTGACATCTTAATCTCAGTAATATTGCTTTTCTCACAGTTTCCTTCACCTTGAGTTATGTAACTATTTTATGTGAGCAGAATCATGCGATTTATGCCTTTACGTGACGAGAATGAAAACAATTGAATCAGAACACGCAATAAGATCGCTCACGCCTCACATCAAGCCTTGTAAGCATATATTTTGAACGTAGATATCATACCATTCACTATTTAAAGGAGATTCAAAACGTTTTACGTCTGCATAAAGGTTTTTCTGAAAATGCGTTTACTAGAAGGAACAGAAAAGATTATTTAAAAATTACATCCAACACCTATCTTAACGATCACAAATGTTGTCACTGTGCATCGTCTTGAGCTGTAACGCTGTAGAGCAAAACACTGGCATCATAAAAGTATCACTATTGTGGTACTCATCTCCCTCTGGAACCCCCATAATATCGAGGCCGTGTAGAATTGCAAAGTAACAAAAATGAAAACTTGGAGAACGAACATAAAATGAACAGTATGGTGGGCTGCATTGGTGAAAGAAGCACATTTGGGTGGAGTGTTGTCTGGTCCGTCTCGATCCCCAATCATCTGTACAAATGGACATTCCTGATATATTTGTGGTGTAAAATCCGTTTGATTTGTCTTATCTCTATGAAAGTATGGGACTCATCGAACAATTTGCATTTCTCTGAGGCAAACAAACCAAAAGATAAATTCATACGCAGCTTTCCACGTATTTGAATCGTAAACACCTGCAAATTTTCCACGTCTGCAACTATTTTCAGTAGTAACGCTATAGACACCCACCCTACGGATGTTTGTGCACCTTCGCACTATGAGGATGATTCAGACGCCCCGTGACATCGCAAAAGCTGATCAAGCTAGAGTCACACGGAAACAGATATTGAAAGCTCTCGTCAACCTGCATCAGGTGTGCGAAAGTAATCAGTAACGAATGTGACTTTAAACGGGTCAAATCAGGTCATGGTAGTGAAACAACCACTTTGCAGACCGCCCCTGTTATATCCAGAACGAAAAGTGCTGTAACGGTGCAAAAGGCGGCATTAGATAGTTCTCGGAATGCTACGAGATGCAGGGGTATTGTTACGTATTCAGTTGAGGGGCTCCCACACCCCAACTTGGTCTCAAGGCCACCCACCCCCTCCCACCCTCCAGTTTTGCAGATGAAGTAGGTCAAATTAGGGAAATTAGTTTGCGTGGGTAGTTTTGGAGTAGTTTTTGTAGGCCTGAGCCGTTCAGCACTCCGAAGTTATTTGGTAAAGCTGTGCCCCTGACCAGACGGGCACTAGTGGACATCAACAGGTGTAAGCTGTGATATGTCGCGTTATGTCAGATAAATGAAGACTATTGCCGCATTGGCCCGTCCGGCTACATCTAAAACTGAACAAGTCACGTCAGTGGGGAAAACAGAGTAATAAAGACCTTTTATGTCTGTAAGATGTTTGTCATTGAAGTTCAGATTGCATGACAGTTAAAGGTTAAATCTGGTGACATCTCTTTCTCTGCATCTGCATTTCGGTGTCGACTGAGTGTTTACCAATCATGATGCGAGTAGTTGGGCCCCCCCCCCTCCCCCCCCACAAACTGCCGTACAAATACAGAAGAGGGGAGAGGGGGGGGGGGGCTTGATGGAGTGTAGCCGATGCGTAATAAAGCGGGGGCCGTAGGGCTTTTTGCCAGAGTAACATTACGTTTAGGTGTGGTTGCAAGTCATGTTTAGAGCTTTAGAACTGCATGAGAAACTCATTGGAAAATTCCTAACCGTTTAACCTGTGCGTGATCCAAGCGGCTGATGGCAGACATACTCATACACATTGTCTCCTTAGTATGATAGCAGATATTAAACCTTACAGTCGGATCGCTTTAGTATCATCTCAGGACTGGTGACACTCTTTTTGATTCGCACCTCTCGCTCAATTGGAAGCCAAACAGACGATATATGTTTGAAGCATTACGCTCGACACAGCGTAACTAGGGGGGGGGGGGGCGCTTTTTCCTAGCGCAAGCGGTGCATATCACAGGAATGAAAAGACGCGCGACGTATTTATAGACAACCCACTGACCCTGTCGGTGCGATTAACTATGCGAGCCATTTATCATCCCTGAGCAACGGGAATGGCACCGACAAGTCCGGGTGTGCGATTTCATCAGTCGCTGATCACTTCAGCCCTCACAATGATAGTTGCGAGGAACTTGCCGATCCATCGCAGCAATTACGTACTAGCATGGCGCAAAGTAACGCTAGCATTAGACAAATGGGATCAGTGTATACGACAACGTCTGCAATGCCGCACTTCAGTTATCACTTGCCAATATTTATGTCGTGAATTGTCAGCGTCAGTTTTTGCTGTTTAAGGCATCTGTACCAGTCAAACTATGCATTAAACAACCAAAAAGGAAAACAACGAAAATGGTAGCTACTTGAGTCAGGTTGTGCCATGTGGTTTGACTGGTCACTTTCCCTCTGCAGAAGGCGACGCGATGCACGCTCGCGCCCCTGTTATAGATCGCCTAGAGCGCCATCTATCACATTGGCCATATTGGCACCAAGGCGTCATGGCACAATCGGGATTCGAGCCCCCCCCCCCCCCCCCCACGTGTAAGTCCATGGCACTAACCATTAGGCAATCAAGTCGCGTCAGTCATTTTTCATCACAGCTCCCACTTTCCAATATGCTCACGGAAATAACCGGTTATCATTAGAGTCGACTACAATTATTGCAGCCATTAACACCCGGCAAACTAGTTTTACGTGAAATGTACCAATCGTTCCCTGAAAACAATGTTGCTCATCAACTGTGATCTGATCACCCACGTCTCGTCCCAATTGTTAAACACCTACCAATCTTGTAATGACAGGTTCCAGTCAGGGATTTTAACCACAAGAGCAATTCTGTATCAGCCAAGCTATCAGCTGTGCGGTGACAGCAACAAGCTGGGTGTATGCTGTTACGCCACCCGATATTCTCCCAACCATCATTCTAGAAAGTCTAGAAAGTCTTGCGTGGATTGCTGTCAGCAAGACAATTGATTGAGGCTCCGCGCTCGCCATTTCACCCAAAGGCTTCGTATCTGGCGCGAATAGGTTGGTATCTGACGTAAGGTAACATGCAACTGTCTGAAAACCTTCCTTATGAGCCGGGTGCAATGACCCACAAAACCAAACATTCATGGTTCGCATACCAGTGGGTGTCCCAGGATATGCCTTAAACCCAGCGCCAAACCGCAGCCTCTAATCTGCAGTTAGCATGCATTTATCGCTCGTTGGCAGCATGTTACCCCCACTAACTAGGAGCAGCACTGAACCAAATAGTTAGAGGCGCTGTTGAGACTCGAGCTTGCATCATTTCCTTGCAATAACATGGGTTTCTTGTTTAATTTTGTCATTCAACGCTGGAGATGCTGTGATTTAATGTCGGAGATGCAGCGGTATCACAAATAACTATTTAGTTTCACCCATACTTCAAGTCAAGCGTCAAGTCAAGTCAAGTCACGTCATAAGTCAAGCGCAGAAGACACTAATATGCGCCATCACAGATGTGACAAGGGTCGTCGCAGTGTCATCCCAGGCGTTATAGTGTGTGACCTGGCGTGGATGTTCGAGAAGAGCATTCACGAGACACCACATAAGCATATTTTTGTCTAGAAGCGCAGTTTGCGTGCATTGCGTTGATTCGTGGTTTGATATCAATACATAGCAAATAGTCATCAAACCCAAGCATGTCAATCATCACAGCCGGGAACCCAGAAATGTCTGATCCATGTAAAATCACCAATATGAGTACGGCAATCGCATTTATCTGTGTATTTTTATTGTTAACTCAAGCCCATTTCAGCTACCCATTAAGCGCCAGTTGCCTTATGGATATGATCAACCACTGAACACGAATAACTCGGGGTAGTTTGGGCTTGAGGGCATGACCGGTATATGCTCGAGCGCAGAGCACCGCGCTTTGCATCATACGCAGTGCGCATCGTGTTCTTGGTTCATTTATGCTCAGCCCCGGCATGTTTTACGTTATTGCCAACCCAGGGCTATGCCTTTGCACCCCTGTATTTTGTGTTTATTCCCACGATAACATCAAGGCCGATGGTCGTCCGCCAACCTTGCCCGATGCATAGCGACTTTCGTGCCCCATGTGCAGTCGTTTCGTGTTTCGAACCCCACGTGCAGTTTTAACCAAGACTGCCGTCAGCGCATAGGTAGCTAGTGTCAGGTCAGTCTCCAACGTGCGGCATTTTCCTATGCTTTCACGTTGGTGCTGATCGTGATAAGTTTCTTGGTCTTCGCAGAGCCCTTTCGTTTGCCCGCCTTTTTGCGCGGGCTCTTATCGAGATACGTGTCGATGAACTGTCGGGTCGGATCACAGGTCAGCTGACTGCCGTCGATCAGCCGTGTGGGCAGGCAGATGGGGCTGACCGCCGGCGGCTTCCTGTAGCGCGTGCTACACACCCGCGGCGAGCAGACTCCCACGTCTTCGCCCCTGTCGGCGCGCCGCACGCGTTTCCTGTCGCCTCGCGCCGCGTCCAGCTGCGGGCACTCCAGCGGCGGCAGCGGCGGCTTGGGGCAGCGGAACACGCGCGTCATCTTGCTGCGCACGCGGCCCGGCTCCACCAAGTCGTTCTTCATCACCAGCTGGCGCAGGCACTGCGTGCGCATGAACTCGTCGGCGACGCCCCTGAGCCACTGGCGCGAGTTGCGCGGCCGCTGCTCGTCCTCGCAGGAGGGGAACGTGCCCGTGCTGACCGTCATGGAGGAGAGCTCGTCATCAAGCAGGTCACCATAGGAGATGCGCTTCTTGGGCTGCTTCTGCTTCGGCTCCGGCTCCGGCCCCGGCTCCGGCTCCGGCTCCTGCTCGGACTGCTGCGAGACGCTGCTGGCCTCCGGCGTCTCCTCGGCGCCGGAGACGGCGCGCCTCATGGCGATGCAGCAGCGACAGCGGCCACAGGGCGCGGCGTCGTCGTCTCGGTCCGGTCCGTCCCTGCGGTCCCTCTCCTGCCGGCCGCGACTGCGGTCCCTGCCGTCCCGGTAGCTGTCGATGCCTTTGCCGTCTCTAGGGCCTCCCCCACCGTGATCGTCTCTGTAGCCTCGGTCGTCCCTGTAGCCCCCGTCGACCCGTTGATCGCCATAATCCTGGCCGCCTCTGCCGTCCCAGGGGTCTTTCCCCGCGTGCTCGTCTCTATAGCCGGCACCGCCCAGGCCTTCCCAATACTGCTGACCCTCCCCGTGCCGTTGACCCTCCCTGAACTGTCGACCATCTCGGTCGCTGCCGCGTCCACGAGCCCCGCCCTCGTCTCTGCCCGCTCCGCCAGTCCAGTCCGGCTCCCCACCGCGCCACCTGGGATCCGTCCCTCCAATGACATCATGGCCGTCGTACTGCACCGGCGGCTGCCGCGCCGCGCCCAGATTCTCCGCCCACCCTTGAGCGGCGGCCGTCTGTGTGCCCGACTGTCGCTTGGCCGGCGTCTGCTGGCCCGCCGAGGCGATCGACGACTCCGAGATCGTGATGTCGGGGACCTCGGCGGGTGCCACGTCCGCCGGGTTGTCGTAGACGACCTTGGCGGTGCTCTCGCCGTACTTCTGCTTCAGCGCGTCCGTGATGCCCATCTCGTCCATCTGAGTCGACACGCGACGCAGCCAGGTGAACACGTCCTCATTGCCGACGATCAGCGAGTCCTTGATAGGCTTGGACTCGCGCTGGTCCTCGGCGTCAGACCCGGCCGCCTCGCTTGTCTCCGTCTCCTGCGAGTCGTCGCCAGTGCCAGTCTCGCCGTCGATGACAATGGCAGGGGCAGCGCCGCTCGCCGGCGGGGCGGGGCCGGAGTCGGGCGAGGCGTCCGTGTCGGTGTCCGCCTCGTACGGCTTGTCATCTCGGCCGACGGCAGCAGCGGCGGCCGCAGCGTCGGCGGAGCCGGGCGCGCCGCGAGAGGTGCGTGAGTCGACGCCTCCACCGGGCAGAACGGGACCTGCGGCATCACTGGACACCGGACCCGGCTCATCCGGACCCGTGTCTCCATCCTCAGTGGGCTTTAGAGGACCCTCGTCGGCTCCGAGGCTGTCCTCGCCCGAGTGTTGCGGCTCTCCGTCCTCATCCCCGGACGGCAGATCGCTGTCAGCCAGGTCCGATCCTTGTTCGTGGTCTCCGTTCTCGGGCGTAGCATGAGCGTCAATGGCAGCCCCATCATCAGGGCTGGGCTCCGACGTTTCTGTGGAGATATTATGCATTTGGTCAGAACATTAACCTTTTGGCATAAACCGAAATGTTAAAAAATGTTCACGTCATATACGTCATTGGTCTTGGGGCATTTGCAGTCACATGCTTTATTGGCTTGTCGCTCATTGGTTGTCGCTCATTAAGCTTACAGGGAGTATTCCACATTTGTGCTGGGTTTTGGGGTTTTGGGGCTTTTAACTGAAACAGCCATCTTGAAGATCATTCTGTGCGGTTCACAGCCCTGTCCCTCTTAAGACCTAAACGCTTCTAGTTTCTGAGCCACACACCCGTGAAGATATGCCGACTTTTTCGTGGACTATTTCAAGGTCATCCAAGTATCCATGACGCCGTGATAACGTCACTGAAATTCTGCTATTCCACTGGCCACGCTGCGGTCAAGGCCAAGAAAGATATATTGGTCTAGTCGCTCTTACCTGACGTTCGAAAGCACGATGTGTAGATATAAGAGACGTCAATTGATTTCAATCAATGTTGTGCATGGTACCATGACACAATCAAACAATGGCGTATTGAGGGGCATATTACGAAGCAGAGAAACTGTGCGGTTCATGGCAATCTTTCCCACTTAGAGCGATACGAAGAGTTATAAGTGAGATCACTTGACCATGTCTGATGCTTGTTTCAATATATTCAAATCTGAAACATTCCCTTCAATTATCTCAAGCATGCTCGTCAACTCTTTCCCCAAATTGGCATCCGTATGTTTCAAACACAAAGCCTTACCTGAAAAAGCATCAGTCGCCTCATCATGGTCTTGATTTATGCTTGCACGGCGCTCATCGTCACCTGTCACCGGGTCTTCCGCGTTGGGGTCCCTTTTTTCATCGATTGTGCCCAGACTGGCTGACATGCGACCGGCTGTATCGCCACTGGTTGATGCACCAAGTGATCGCCTGCTTGCTGATGTCGCGCCAACCGAACCTCGGCTAGCTGTTGTAGCGCCAACTGAACCCCGGCTGCCTGATGCTGCACCGATTGTACCCCGGCTGGCTGATGCTGCGCCAACTGAGCCCCGGCTGGCTGATGCTGATCCAACTGTGCCTCTGCTGGCTGACGCCGAACCGACTGAGCCCCGGCTGGCTGATGCTGATCCAACTGTGCCTCTGCTGGCTGACGCCGAACCGACTGAGCCCTTGCTGGCTGATGCTGATCCAACTGTGCCTCTGCTGGCTGACGCCGAACCGACTGAGCCCTTGCTGGCTGACGCTGATCCAACTGTGCCTCTGCTGGCTGACGCCGAACCGACTGAGCCCTTGCTGGCTGACGCTGGTCCAACTGTGTCTCTGCTGGCTGACGTCGATCCGACCGAGCCCTTGCTGGCTGACGCTGGTCTGACCGTACCCCCGCTAGCCGATGCCGAACCGACAGACGCCTTCCTTTCGGCTTCGCCTTCAGCTGGTGGACTCCCCTCGCCGTCGATGTCGGTGGCAGGTGTCGCGCCATTGCTCGGATCCTCTGACGTCTCCGGAGCCGCTGAGGGATCTTCGCCAGTCAGCGACCGTCTTCCCATGGGCGCCTGCGGACCAGTTATGTCCATACATACCGCAGAACACACTGATGCGAGTATCTGTCACACAATCCGAACAGATGCGTGGACATTACATTACATCACAGCTGCATCACATCACATACAGCATTATTATATTGCATTACATTATATTACGAAGTCCGAACAGCTGCGTGGATTACACTGCTCGTGACCGTATCTGACCGGAAGCGGCGTCAAATGCAAGGCACAGTCGGCAACCTCATTCCCTGGGCATGCAACAATGTCATGAGAGATGGGCGCAAAATGACCACAATAGTCGGCGCCCTAAAACTTCAATCAGCAACAATGTCAGGAGAGAAGTCCTTCCATATTTCATGCTTTCATAACTTCACCTCCGAAGTCAGGCTGTCTAACCTTTAGTTAACGCCCTAACTGACCAATGATATCGGGAAGGATCTGATTCAATGTATGCCAGTTTCATTGCATATCAGCATCGCACTTAAATTACGGTCAGGTCTCAATTTTCGTGCGCTCCGCGAATCGTTGCTTCTGGCGTTTAGCGGGTGGAGAACCGGGGCTATGTGTTTCCTTTGTTGTTCTGCCTGTACGGTACGCGACCGCTGTCACGCACGCTGAACACATTTCATACAACATCACGCATGTTCTGAACAGACTTGTCTATTGGGAATATGGGTCCATGCCTGAGCCCTGCCACTGCACTGCTGTTGAATGAACTCTTGACCTAAACGTTGGTGCTTTAAGCCGGGTGTCGATTCGTATCCGTAGAGGTGAGGTTCCACATCTGTATACAGTTTTGAACTGAAATAGACATCTTGAAAACTATTCTGCGTAGTTCACAGTGCTGTCCTTCTTTAGACCCAAACCCCTCTTGTTTCTGAGCTACGCGCCTGCGGAGATGCGCACACTAACTGGAGGACTAAATGCACAAATCCTACCATTTCATTAGCCGTGCCGCGATCAAAGCCAATACAAAACATAATTGTCGAACCGTTTATATCTGGCGCTCGTGGACATGCTTTCTAGATGTAACGGCCGTCAATAGGCTTTCAATCAACGTTCTCCAAGGTATGATGACGCAATCAAACAATCATATATTCGAGAGTCTATTAACCAAACAAAGAACTTACGTTGTCTACAGCAGGCTTTTCACTTCAAAGTATTCAGATAGTTATAGGTGAGCATATTTCATCATATCTTCAATGTCTTCAAATGTGGAACAATCGCTTTAATAAACACTGGGATAGGGCCGGATATCACCGTCGAAGGGGATTGCAGCAACAACATACCTTGCCAGCTGTGCTTATGGACGCTATGGCTCTCAGCCTTCGTTCATCAGCCTCCTGTTCGTCAGCGATCTTTGTCGCTTTCTTCACAATAGAGTTCGTAAGCGCCACAGCAATGCTGGCCACTTGTTTTGACTCGGTTATGGACAGCGAAGCATTTCTACCTGGGTCCGAATGAACCACACTTTCGGTGGAAGAATCCAGTTTGCGTTCACTTATTTTGATATTAACAACAGGGAGACCAAATTTTGTGCTTCCTATTATTTACCATGGCATAGCAGCTCCAGCACGGAACCCTGCCAAGTATTGTGCATAACTTTCTGGAATGTAGCTCGGTTGTCACGGATAAAAATAATCATTTGATTAACACCTTGTAAAATGTTTAAGCTTAATTTCGACCGCGACATCCAATGAAAGACATCTTAAGTACTTCGACTAAATATATAGAATGGGCTAAAACGGCCATTCATATATTCTCGCGCGGACGTTGAACGTAGCACCTCTCCATAGCAAGAACTCTTCAAAGGCCAGTCATTACACAAACGCAGTTTTCCGATATGACGACGAAGAAAAAAGAATTCACGCAGTGGCGTCTTCTCGCCTTTGAATATGGTGGTGAATGAGCTTATGTCTCCGGAAAGGAGATGACAAAGGTGGGATAAAAAGGGTCGAATTACTAGAACCAAGATGGAGAAGGAAATGAGCTACCAATAGCGTAGTTTCGCAAAATCAGATTTGGGGTGTGGGACCGATCAGCAAAAAATGACGCAACAAATCTGGCAAAATCCGCCAATAAACTAGCCGTTCCCCTGGAATTGGTTCACTTCTTTCTCAAAGCTTTTTGTGCGGGAAGGGGTGAGGGCGTAGGTGAGGGAGGGAGTGTTGAGCCTAAGTTATAAGACTGGAGTTTTCCAACTGAAAAGGAAGCTGCGCTCCTGCGTACACCATTCGTTAGAGCAGCACTGGTGCTGAACGCATAAATGAATCGTTGAAAATATATCCCGTAGGACAAATATCAAGATCATTATATTTAATATGACCGTTGAATGTATTGTTGTAAAGTGATATATGATTTCTGTTTTTGTTTATTGGAGTTTAGGGGCGCGCCGACTGAAAGTGATATATGATAATTCCGCGTTAGATACCACTTGGCAAACTAAATGAGCGGGATGTTTCTTTTCATTTCATTCTCGACATGTGTAGTTACTTATTTATGGTAACGAGGAATCTTCCTTAAGATGAAAATATGTCACCAGTGACGCTATGTGTCAGTAAAAGATCACAAGAATAGCGACGCTTTATCGGTGATGCACTTTTGATGGTTATGACTCCAACCCGCATTTACATATTGAAAACAGGCTTGTGCGCGTTATGGTCAATTATGAGCATCAATACGATGCAACACAAGCGAAACGCGCAGAATCGAGGAAAATTCACATAACAAGGCGCACACAAATAAGAAGTGCAGCATTTTAGTATGAATAGAAGATAATTTTCCCCCATTTCCCGTGAACGCTTTGAGACATCGCGCCAAATGAGCCTTCGATGCCCGCCAGTATAATTTTTTCGGCAGACATATCGGAGCCTGTGTAGACCATAGTACACAGCTGCTGTGTCGAGCGTGAGCTGGGTACCACAGCCTTTTATGACACTCTAGCGACTACTGCAGATATACTACCTATTGTGTCATGCCCCGAACGGGCACCGCGCAGGGCCCGTAGCACGCTGGCCTTTCCGGTGCGCGATCACGTGATCGTGCCCCTGGGACGGCGGCTGTGCCGCAATGCCGTGTCCACCCGAGGCGACACCCCACTTGACCTGTACGGCTGCCGCTGCCAGCAAATGCAGCCACCAGCTGGCGTCCAGCGTGTGCGGGCGGTCAGCCAGCAGCAGACACCACACTACCATTCATGGGTCATGGACAACCGGGATTTCATTCCAGGCCCTATGTGGCAGAACTCACGGCTCTAACCGCTCAACTATCATACTCCGAGATACCGCACATACGCATGGATGCTGCTGTGTATGATGCATGTCTGCAAATGTAGATGTATGTACGTATGCATATGCATGCATGTGTTACATGCATATGGAAATTAGGAAAATCCAGCCTTGCATTACATGTGACTGGTCATGTCGTTTGAAGTTAGTAAATTCAAGAAACGTTACGGAACATAAAGACACTTTTACACAGCTGTTTTCTAAAAAAAAAGCGGGAAGCGATTGATGCATAAGCTGGGGTTGCTACTAGCGAAGCACTTTAACACTTGATCTATTAGTCACCCATGAACATCGTAAACCAGATAACATACGCCGGGTGCGGCGGTAGCCACACCAACTCGCGTTCTAGTGAAACAGTCTTGAGGGTTTTAAAGATGTTTGTCCCAGTAGTTTTGCCGCACCAACTTTTCCCTTCTTCGCGCACACAACTTCTCTCAGTATCTCCCGACGTACTCGGAAGAAACCAGGAATCTTACGGTCAAAACCAGAGCCCGGAAGAGAGAACCGTACTGAATCATGAGTCTGCAGTGACGGTGGCCGCATGATCCAGGGCTGCATGACACGGGCCGATCAGTTTCAGAGGACGTGTCCATTGGGCACGGACCATGAGCCCAGCAGCCACATTCAAAGAAAACGGGACACGGTGCGGTGCCGTGGCTGTGTCAAGAAGACAAGTTGATCACCCTATCAGTCTCAGGGGCGTAGTTTTGCAGATTGAAATGGGCGGGGGGGGGGGGGACTGAACCGTAAAAATGATGAAACCTTCTTCCAAAAGCCGCCAACAAGCGGGTTTCTGCCGGTTGTGGCCCACTTTTCTCTCAAATTTGGAAAAGGGGGGAAGTTGGAACCCAAGTTAAGAGAGGGGAAGCCCCACCTCCCAGCTGAAGCGAAAACTGCATCCCTGATCAGTCCGGTTGTCCTCTTCTCAGAGGGCGCGCAAGTCAGTTTTCAGTCAGGCCATCCGTACAGTCTTCCATGTGTATAGAAACCCCAGGGGTGAGCAATGAAACCGTTTCCAAAGCCGTATGACATCAGTTCTTGCCCAACATTTACCACTCAATTCACAGTACCGATTCCGCCAGATTTTTAAAATCCAATGACCTCAGCTTCATGACATTATGATGACCTGAATTCACCCACAAGCAAAGGGCGGAGGCAGTTCTTTATAAACCTTTTTTCCAGTTCATTTTCGCCATAGGCCTTCTGGGCCTGACAGGGTTAAAAATCGGCAAAATACGTTCCCGTTGAGGTTCGACCCCTTCCGTTACGGGAATCCTGGCTGAGACCCTACGAATATACACTGTTAATTAGCAGAGTCTTGCAAACATCACCGATCTTGGAAACTCACCGTCCGATTGGCTGAATAATTTCATCATATTTTTCCTCACCTGCACCTGTAGTTGTTGGAAAAGGTAGAAACCTTTTACCCGCATTTAAGATGCTTTCCTTCTTCCGCAACGAGCAGGAAATCGGCTATTGAAAAACAATCAGGTCATCATGACTTTCTGAGATCACTTAATTCAACGCGGGAAGTAGAATGGGGTATTTCAATAAATAAGTCGATGTTTTCGCAAATTTCAGCGCGTTAATGCCATGTACATAAAAGGTTTGAGAGATAGCAGTGATATAGAGATATGATTGCTAAAGGGATGTGGCAGCAGTCACTGCCATATCCTTCATTGGAATATAAGCCATATCTTTCGTTACAGGCTGTTTCTGCACGCTTTTCCGCTGTTTTTCTTTTGTAAATTCGTCCACGTATTCGGAGATTTAGTTTCAGTGCACTAAATTGCTTATTTGATATTTCATTCCTCTGAAAAAGAGCGTTACACTTGCAAGTCTGGCTTTCATTTCATTAGTTTAATTTTCAGTGGCATAACTTAGAACTAGTAGTATCCCGGGCGTCTGTTTACATCTCGCCAATCTTCGTCGGCCTTGGACGGGGGTTGGGTGCACGCGCGGCTCCGGAGTTCAGCGACGGGGATCTGTTTATAATCATTGAAGGGTGGAGTGGACCCTTACGGGTCGGACACCATAAGGTAGGCAGCGTCTTCGGGAATCACCCTGTATGTGGTACTGCTGAACGCCAAGGTTTGGACAGATTTGCTTTCTGTTCGCTGTTGGACCGTGGAGCTGGTTGGAATTGTGCGTGCCACTGTGCGTGCGACCTTAATGACTGGTCTTCGGTGTCCAGACTCCAAGTTCAGTGTGCGTGCTTATCTGTGCTGTAGTCAGTGTCAGTATCCATTGCGAGTGTTTAAGTCAATGTTAGTTTGTGATCTTTGACCATCAAAGCTTACAGTCTTACACATTCTGCCCCGCGGTAGTTAGCCCCCCCCCCCATTCATGATGATGATATTAAGGCATCTCTGTGTTTTTTCGATGGCTTCAACACTGGTCAATAGTTTGGAGTAACATCATTTCTGAGATATTTATTTGAATGTGATTCCCTATGCAGGAGTGCTGTCAAGGTCTTGGAACAGTATGTGGGAATTGTAAGCAGCTGAAATTCTACTGAGGTAGGAGCCCTGATGCCTGCTTTCTTTTTAAGTGGAGCCTATAGTATTATCTAAAGCTGGGATGGGGGATAAGCCCCCACAAATCAAAGAGAATGTATGGCAATTCCATGAAGAAACCAATGTGCTGGTGTCATATGGGGGTAGGCTTTATGGTTTTTCACTGTTCATTGCCTCCCCCAGCTCATTTCACAAAGCTTCACTTCTGGGAACCCATGTATAAAACCCCTGGAAACTTCAACAAGAATACTGTATCCTTTGCTCCCCATTACAGGTTCCAGGTAAAACTAAGTTACATTCTGTTTTCCGAAGTTGTTATGGAGCACACTGATCTTAATCCTGTACCACTGCTTATCATTACCTGACAGGTTATATGCTTCATTTTCTTCCTCACCTTCATACCAACTTATAGGTGATAATAAGCTGGTCTTCTATATGTTCTAATGGCTTGGTTAAGGTCAGGTCAGGGGCAAAGCCCTGGCACAATAGTCACTCCTTGAAGCTGTGTGTGAGCCTGTCAGTCGCTATTATCTTCTTACCACATTTTTACAACAGGAGGCTTGTGGTGCACTTTCTTGTGAGGATTTAGTAAGAATAATAATTCTACAAAGTCTTAACTGTAACATACACCCAACAAATGCCACAGTTACAGCCAGGCAAGATGGAAGATCTCAATCAGTCTGTGCATCCAGGATTTGTTGAGTTTAAAAACATTCAGAATAATAATTTTCTATGTATTCCAGGAAAACTAACTGAACATTTTTGATGACTCCATCCCTTAAAGCAGATTGTTTACATTAAGCAGGCATAGCACTAAGAAACTAAAGAATAATATAAGGGAGGCTTGCATTTTTTGTCAGCTGTTTAGCAGTAAGCAGGTATATATCACATTAAGAAATGAAGTGTGATATTATGGAAGCATGCATTATATGTCAGCTGGAGAGGCTATGCATGTTGAATGAATGTGTCTCATACAGCAGCAAGTGATTATAGGCTGCTCAGAGTATCAGTATAGATTGGTCATCATCCCCAGCTGATGATTATCTACCATCATGGTGGCCCAAGACAGAGTCCGCACTCCGCCGGATGATAGCCGCGGCTTCCGTGGCTTATGTCTCCGCCGTGCCCGGCCAGCTCGCGCCAGTGTCGCCGCTGGCTTGCAGCTGGCTGGTCGCTGGCCCCCTCCCCCTCCCCCATCGGCGGGGCGGTGCACGCCCCATGTCCGCCCGGCGGTGGTCAGAGGTCTGGCGCCGGCCGCTCAGCCGTGTGAGGTCAACACGAGCTCCAGACGCCGTGGCCGGCGGGCAGCTGTGCGCTGCGCGGGACCTTGCATCGCTGCAAGGATCCGTGCACAGGCAGCAGTGGGTTAGGTCAGCACGGATGTGCTGATCGGAGGAAGCGCAACGCGACAAGCCTTTCCGCAACTGAAAATTGGAATATACGTTAGCGGGTCAGGCTTTCTTAATGGTGACCAGCAAAAGCATACTATGTAAATCTTCGTGAAACAGAATGGCGAGCATGGTTCTAAGGGGTTTTCCTGGTCTCAGCTGTCGTTTTTCAGCGACGCGTATCAGGTGTATGCGCATGAGGGGTGATGAATTAAGTGTCATAAAGTAAAAATAAATGTCATTCCATCTTACGCAAGATATGATTTGCATACCGTCGCCTCATCATGTATGCAGATGGCGCAATTACCGAATCAGTAATGCGTTGTTTAACACGTGCATAGTTATCGGGCTGTAGTATTAAATCAGCGCGGTAAGTGGAAAGATCAATATCTTCGGTATCCACGTTCCACCACAGGGTTTCGGCCGGCGTGATGCAAGGGTCGGTGTGATGGCGTCCGCCTTCGCCGCGTGGACCAGTCCGGAACCGCTCTCCTTTTCTGCCGTTTGCCATTCTGCGACGTGAATCCTAGCGCCGAAAGAGCCTGCGGCGGAGGGTGGAGCGCTATTACCGAGCTCTTGTTCCATGAAGTGGCTACCAGCTGTGCGCATTTATAACGATTTAACCAGGATGACTGGGCTGCTACGTCATCCGTTGCGGCACGTTCTGCCACGTATGGCGGTGATCCCGCTGTGTTGCGTCACTATGACATCATGACTGGGCTCTGTTGTGTTGTGTTTGTGATGTGGTGCCGCGTGCGGCGCTTCCACGCCGGCGCTCCGTCAGTTTGCGCTCGACTGGGACGTGTTGCGTGGTGCGCGCCGCGGCTCAACCGTGCAGCGCCAGCTCCAGCTGCGGTGGGGCCACAGTGTAGGCCCGCCGCCGCTGGGGCGTGCTGCGGTGCTGTTGTGGTGTTCACCTCCCTTGTGGCGCTGCCCAGCGCCGACCGCGCCGCGCTGTAGCGGCGCGGCCGGCGCGTGCCTCGGCGGTTGCCGCCGGCCCGGCCGGTGACTCAGAGCCGGCCGCGCGGACGGTGATGAGCTTCAGGCGCCGGGCGTGAAATATCGGCCGGCTCCATAAACAGAGCTCGCCCAGGCGGCGCCCGACCAGCGGCGCGCCGAGCGTCGCGCTGCCGCACCTCGGCTCGTCTAGAGTCGGCTCTGTCAGCCTCCCCCCCCCCCCCGAGTCAGCTAACCGGCACCCGCGCTGCCGCGCCTCGGCTCGTCCGGAGTCGGCTCTGTCGCCCCCCCCCCCCCCCGCCCCGGGTCAGCTAACTGGTACCCGCGCTGCCGCACCTCGGCTCGTCCAGGATCATCTGTATCAGCCCCCCGGGGCAGCTAACCAGCACCCGCTGTCACGCACCTCAGCTCGTCCGGAGTCGGCTCTGTCAGCCTCCCCCCCCCCCCCCCCCACTGGTTCAGCTAACCGGCACCTGCGCTGCCGTACCTCGGCTCGTCCGGAGTCAGCTCTGCCAGCCCCCTCGCCCCGGACCAGCCGACGGGCATCGGCTATCTCACGACTCGGCTCGTGCAGCCGCCCTGTCAGCTGGTGTATCGTGAGTTGTGTGATTCACAGCTACATATCGCTCAGTTAGGTAAATTATTTACCGTTCCTCCTCAGCCCCTCAGCAAGTGCGGTTCTCTTCTCAGTTTATCGACTTAGTGGGGTTACTCGCTTAGCTCTGTATCTTGGAAGCTTTCCCCTCAACTCCCAGGGTCCCTTCGTTCAGTGGACTTCTTCGCAGCTTCCGCCCCTCCATCAGATTCTTAGCGCAGGATTAAGGGTGGAGGCACCAGCCTTGATCCGCGCCATACAAAGCCTGTAATGTATGAATGCACGAGCTTGCGCTGCTCTGAAAGCATTTTTCTGTCGCACATGCGCAGCCGTGCCAGGCTGCCCAGTCTACTCCAACGGAGTTAATGATATGCGCGAGTCAAAATGCATAACGATCAACCTCCCGGAGAAATCTGCTGTGATGTGTAATCATGCAGCGTGCCTGAGTTGTTGCATGCAGAATGTCGACATCCCGTCCGCCCCTTATTCGGGTGCGGCTGTGGTTGAGCGACCTTCACGCTCACGTGGTGCGGTCCTTGTCTTCTGTCGTCTTTATCTATCCCAGCGTCCTGACGGGATGACCAGATCCGTGTTATTTGTCTACATGGCCCATGCTTTACGCGGAAACCAGTAAGATGTCGCTGAACAGAAACGCGCCCTAGCAGCTGTTAAAGCTGTTACCAGTGTTAAGTTGTCTGGTGTGATTGATCTGTGAGGTTGGATCGAATGAATCCATGTTCCAATTTAAAATACACATACAAAAAACCACAGCCACCGTTTGAAGCGTCAACCAAGGTCCGATCAAACTGCGTCACTGATTTTCTCAAGTGTTATTAAAAGATACGGTTTTAACGTCACTTCACACACAAGGGCGCTTGAAACGCGGAAAAGTTTCCTGCCGATATCGTGTAACAAAGAAAAAGCATTGCATCGCAAGTCGGAATTCCTTATTATGTCGTAACTCCCCCTTGTGGTTGTATTGTCCTTTGAGAACGCTGCAAGAGCTGAGTAGTCTGACGGGCGTTGGGCAGGAGCCATCACACGAAACACGTGTAAGAATAAGTACACCCGTGAAATACACCCGTGCCGCAGTGATCCGGCGGACACTACCCTGCCTCTCCTCAGAGGCACACCATGGACAACCGTGACACAGTGATCCAGCTGACCCTTTCCTCCCCCTCCCCCCAGAGGCGCGCCATAGACAACCATGACACAGTGATCCAGCTGACCCTTTCCTCCCCCTCCCCTCAGAGGCACACCATGGACAACCATGATACAGTGATCCAGCTGACCCTTTCCTCCCCATCCCCTCAGAGGCGCGCCCTGGACAACCGTGACACAGTGATCCAGCTGACCCTTTCCTCCCCCTCCCCTCAGAGGCGCACCATGGACAACCATGACACAGTGATCCAGCTGACCCTTTCCTCCCCCTCCCCTCAGAGGCGCACCATGGACAACCATGACACGGTGATCCAGCTGACCCTTTCCTCCCCCTCCTCTCAGAGGCGCACCATGGACAACCATGACACAGTGATCCAGCTGACCCTCTCCTCACCCTCCCCTCAGAGGCGCACCATGGACAACCGTGACGCGGTGATCCAGCTGCAGAGCCGGCGGATCGCCGAGCTGTCGGCGGAGCTGGAGGCCGTGGCCGGCGAGCGGGACGTGCTGCTGCTGGAGCTGGATCAGCTGCGCTGCCAGCTGGAGCTGCACGACCTCTCGGCTGCCAGGTCAGTACCGGCCCCGGTCGGCGCGACCGTCCGCCGCTGGCGGGTCGCCGCCGCCGGCCCGCCTTGGCTGGTGGCGCCTGACACTGCCCGCGGGCGCCGATTGCGCCAGCGCGGTGAGTTTGTGGATCTTGTAGAGTGGGTTTATGCTGTCGGGGATAGCCGGCGGGATGGATGTGTGGGGGGGGGGGGGGGGTGAGGAAGGAACAGGCTGCTTAGTGACCGGTGGGCGCGGCGCGTGACCCGGCTCAGGACCGCGGCCCGGCGTGGGACACTCGTTCGGCCTGCCCTGCCGGCGGGGTCGCCTCCCTCTCCCCAGTACGGCTCCTGGACGCCGGCTGGGGGTCGGCTCAGGCCTGTCCCCAGCGACCAGATGTCACGTGACGCGCCGAGCCCCGCTGACGGCGCCCCGCCGCCGGCCGCTCGGTCGCCTGCAAAAATACCTCGTGCCACGAGCTAATGGAGTGGCGAAGATTGCTAGGCAATCACAGATAATTGAAACCGGCTCGGCTCTATTATTAGCCCCGGGGGCGTGCTGGCTGGCGGTCGGCGCGGCCCGGAGACAAGCTATCCGCCTCATCACGACCGGGTTGACCTTTGGCCCGCCTGTGATATCGGCCGCCGCGTCGTTTCGTTGCGGGCCGGCGGTGGGTTATGCGCATCTACTGGCGGCTGGCCGTGCCGCGTACCCCACGGCTGACCTCTGACCTCGCGGCCGACCGTTGACCCGGCGCGTGGTCGGTTGCCGCCCGCGCGGATTAGCGGCCGTGTGGCGGCTGCGGCTCGCGCACTGCGGTCCGGTAAGCTTGTTATCACACGCGGCGCGTCCGCGTGTCATACCCGATGTAAGTTATGACCGCCGTCGTGCTCCCGCCCCGGGGAGGCCTCGCGCGGCGCCGGCTCGCTGGCGGGCGGCGCCGGCGCGGCGAGTGCTATGCCTTGTTACCGCATTGTTTCGGCGGGCCGGCGCGATCTGCATCGTGCAGCGGCCAGCGTCAGAGATGACACGCAGAAACCCCGCGGCGGCCTTGTTCGGCGCGCCGGTCCAGCTGCGAGGCCGAGCGTGAGTGGCGAGAAGCGGACGGCTGAATGAGCCCTCGACACCGATATATTGTGGCCGAGAGTGGCCGCGGAACGTCCGGCAACGTTGCCACATCGGAATGCGGGTCGTCCGCTGACTAAGGACCCCCCGCCGGCCCGCCCGAAACGACCCCTCTGCCGGCACGCCAGATCTCCGCGCGCGGCTGCCTGCCGTGCCGTGGATGGTCCGCGGAAGGGAACCGCGCGCGCGGCGGCGGCGGCGGCTAAAACGGTCGGCGGCGATCGGGGCGGGCCGGCGGCGCGTGGCTCGTCCGTCGGCGCCGGCACCGGGGCGGCGCCCGCGCCGGGCGGCGGCCGCCGTGGCCCCGGCCCGGCCGCCGCAGCTGCGGCCCGACAGCGGTACGCAGCGACGGCGGCCGGTATTGACGGCGCCTTGGTCGATCGCGGACGACGCTGGACGCTGTCGCGCGGCACCTGTGGCTGCCCGGCCCGGCGGGGACAGATGAGGACGGAGCGGAGCGGGATCGCCGCCGAAGAAGCCGACACCCGGATGCGTGCCCGTCTGTTTGGGCGACGGCCACCCGGCGACAGATGGGACCTCGGGCTCTCGACATTCCTGCGGTCGGATCGTTATCACGGCATCTCCAACGGTCGTCATCGGCCTTGGCAGAAATGCGGCGTGCTGTTCATCATGATCAGATGCCGCCACGGGCGCCGGCCGGGCGGCATGCCTCGAAGGATTGCCGAGAGGCCGCCGCGCAAGAAACGGAGGCCGTCTGCTTACCGGGCGGTCGCCGCTGCTTCGCCCGGACTTCGCGAGCTGCTCGCGGTGGGTTTTCGATGCGGCCGTCGAATTCCTGCGAGGCTCCTGCTGCGGTGTGGACCGTGCCGGGGCGGCACGTGGTGCGCATGCGCTATCTGCGTTTCTGTACACACGTGCCGTTTGCCGTCCGCTAGTTGTGCCGACAGCGCCTGTTGGCGACAAGCCGGCTTGCGTTCATGACGCCGCCCTGCCCTGGCGAGCCGCGGCCGCCCGTCAAATTAACATAGATCCTATCTGCGGCGGCGGCGCGGCGGCGGCGGGCCGCTGATGACCCGCCGCCCAGCGTCGCCGCTCGGTCGCCCCGGTGATGGACGGAGGCTGCGTGCAGCGGCGGCCCGGGCCGCACGTCAGTCGCGGCGGCCAGCCGGCGTCGGCCGGGGCGGCGGCCGGCTCGGCCATGAGAGCCGGCCAGCCGACACCCGAGACGCCGCGCGGCCGCCGGCGCGCATCAGTGGGGCTCCCCTGGGCAGATGCGGAAGGGCCGCGGCCAGGGGCAGCGTCTTGTGGAGCTGTGAACGATCGACGCGAAGAAGATCGACTGTTACATCTGTGCGTTCTGTAGATTGAAGGCGGGCAGCACCTGTGAGGATGAAAGCAGGCCATAATTTGAAGTGACTGTCAGCCTGTCTACTCCATCTTTTTTTTGCATTTCTGGTTTCTCTGCGTTCATATGGTGACTAGCTGTTTCCTGCAGAGACGCTCGTCCTTGGCTTAAACATGTTTTTTTTTGTGCTGGAGGACCGCCGCCTCAGTCATCATCTGTCTCAATCAACTCGCGATGCTGAGTCGCATGTTCTTCGCCGAGGTCTAGCCCAGCGCACGGTGCTCTGATGTGGACTGTACCTCTGCTGTGTGCACAGTCACACCGGGCAGGGGAGCCTGACTTCCTGCCGACCGCGAGCCGCCGTACGTGCTCCCGGTCCGACCGCTGCTGCCGGCCTGAGCGCGAGCGGCGTCCTGCGCAGGAGGGCTTGGAGTCGGGCGTGACCGCTGGCGATGGCGTTGTGGCGCGTTTCATGCGGCGGCAAGTGTTCGACGTTAAGGCTGGCGACGGATGGTGGCTGACGGCGGCTGACGCCATCGCCGGCGGAGGACCCAGCCCCGGCTTCCAGCCAACACCCGGCGGCGCGTGATGACAGAACCAATAGCTGTCGAGCACCGGTCGCCGTTGACAAGGCCTGAGAGCAGTCGTTGACTGTTCCGCGCGACACGGCGCCGTCGGCTCCGACTGGGCTCGGTCCGTCTTAGCGGCCCGTCGCCGCGCCGTCACCGGTGCCGCCAGCGTCGCGCACGGGCGCCCTGTCCGGCCGGCCGGTCGGCCATGTGGGCGGAGGGCGGGCCGGCGTGTCGCGCTGGCGGCTGCTGTGTCACCGGGCGGCCGGCGCCGCGGCCGCGCCCCGCGCCTGGACGGGCGGCCGTGCGCGCGCGCCGCCGGGCGCCGTCAGAGGCGCGCCCGGCCGGCGCTGACTCACCCGTCGGGCCTGATTTACGGTCGGAGAGCAGCGCTGCCTGATCAGGCGACGTGGCCGCCGGCGCTCGGGCGGCGGGTCCCGGCAGCGGCGGGCGGCTCGTGAGCGGCGCCCCGGGCGGTTTCTGGGCGGCGAGCGGAGCGCACGCGGCCTGCGGCGAATACCGTCCTGTCGCCGTTTGTCCGTGAGGGACGTGCGGCCCGGAGTGGCCGTGACCGCGGACTGAACGCCGCTGGACTTGTGTGTGTCCGGGTCTGTGTTTGTGTTGTCTCTATCGGTCTGCCCGCCAGAGGGGCGTATCTGGCTCGGCTGCCCGGCTCGCTGCCGTGTCTGGCTCGGCTGCCCGGCTCGCTGCAGTGGCGGCGTCGGGCCGCGCCGCCCAGCTCATCGCCGGCTGGAGCGGCGCGTGTCCAGCTCTGGCATCGCCGGCGCCCCGCCCGGGCTGAACCAACCATCGTGAACGGCTCTGGCATGTGTGATACCAGCGGCGTGCCTGCTCCCCGCGATGGCTAGTGTCCCCGTCCGGCTCGGGATGGTGACCCGGCCCGCGCTGGCAGCGGCCCGGCCCGTCTCCGGTGTCACGCACCCGCCACGGTCGAGCGGCCGACGGCCGGGGGCGCCGCTCGGCGCGGTGATATGAGGCGCTGGCCGGCCGGCCGCCGGTGCCATTGTGTGAAGTCGGCACGCGCCGCATCCCAATGAGAGGCGACCCGGTCACCGCGCCATGGGAGGGTTGGGCAGAGGCGGCGCGCGCCGCCAGCCGCCGCTCGCGGGTCAGCCCGGTCAGGATCGGGGAGGGACAGACGCTATTCGTTTGCTGGTTTTGTCCGCATCTCTCTCACTTGGCCCTCTGTTTCCCTCCCTCTCTCCTTCTCTCCTGTCTCTGCCTGGCTCCCTCCCTCCCTCGCTGCAGTGCTGGGGTGTGCTGCACGCCCGATGGTGCTCGTTGGCTGGCTGTCTGTCTGTCGCCGGCCTGTCAGCGGCCCGCAGCCGGCCTCGGTGCCCGGCTCCGCACGGCCGCCGCCGCCGCCGCCGCCGACGCCGCCGCTCTCCTGAGGTGCAGGCTCGCTCCGGGCGCCGGCGCCAGGCGTCTCGACGATGGCACCCGGCGGGGCGGCCAGCGCCGAGGCGCCGCTGCAGGCGAGCGCTGGCTGGGTCGGGAGAAACGCCGCCGGCACACCCATGCATACCTACGGGGTCTGTGCTGCGGGGACGGAACGGCTAATGAGGGCAGCTTTCGTGACGATGAGGACACTGTGTTCATGTCGGAGCTCAGTTGTTACCTTGAATGCAGCATCATTCCCGTTTTAAGCGCCTGATTCCTCAAAAGCACATCTGCTGCTGCTTAAATAACAGCTGCCAATGGAGTCAGTCGACCATGAAGAGCTTCGTCCGTTTTCCATGCCATGTCAGCATTAGCTTCAATGGCTTTCTCTAGCTTTACCTGCATGAACGGACATGCTCCGTTCTCGTTATACCTTGATCCTTGCAGATGTTTCGGCGGTGCTGCGCGTTGGGCCAGACATATTTGATTTATTGCTACAAGATAACTAGCTGTGTCGGCTTCCCAGCCGTATTCAGGCGCTGACCACAGCGCCATCCGCTGGCCCATGTTATCGGCTTGAACCGATGCGGCTTAATCAACACGTGCGCCTCTGTTTATGTTATCG